AAACTTGGATGACTGTGATGTTGAAAGGTCTGCCCTGGATTCGTATTGAACTCATTCTGTCATTTTGGAGATTGTATCCCAGTACAGTTTTTCCCACTCTTTTATTGACTATGAGGGCTACTCCATTTCTTCTACGGGATTCTTGTCCACAGTAGTAGATATGATTATCACCTGAATTGAATTCTTCCATTCCTGTCCACTTTAGTTCACTGACGCCCATGATGTCAACGTTTATTCTTGCCATCTCTTGTTTGACCACATCCAGCTTACCAAGGTTCATAGATCTTACATTCCAGGTTCCTATGCAGTATTTTTCTTTGCAGCATCAGACTCTCCTTTCACTTCCAGGCGTGTCCGCAGCTGAGCGTCCTTTTGGCTTTGGCACAACCACTTAATTAGCAGCTACGCTACTTATCCTTGTCTTCCGCTCTTCCTCAGTAACATGTTGGACTCCTTCCGACCTGAGGGGCTCATCTTCCAGAGTAATATCTTTTAGCCTTTTGTTTCTGCCCATGGTCTTGGCAAAGCAAAGATACTGGAGTGGCTTTCCAGTTCCTCGCCCAGGTGGATCGCGTTCAGTCAGAACTCTCCTGTCCGTCATGGGTGTCCCTGCATGGCCTAGCCCATAGCTTCTCTGGATTATTCAAGTCCCTTTGCCATGACAAGGCAGCAATCCATGAAGGGGAAATTTGGACTACTTCCTCCCATAATGTCTCACTGCAGGGCAAGCTGGATGTGTAGCATATGTTCAAAACAACTGGAGGGACCACCAGGTTGCTCATTGTTCTTCTAAAGTGCATCTAACAGAATTCATGCTACTGCCTGAAGATATGAGCCAAGATTAGATTATGCTGTTGCACACATAGCAGTTTGGCAGATGCCTCGTTGTTTGTAATGGCTGACAGGGCTGGGCTCAATTAGTTCAGAACTGACAAGGTCACCATTGTCAATTCTGTGGTGCAACCCAAGCTTGGCTAGGTGACATTTGCCATGACCTGTTAGAATCCCCAGCCAGTACGGCCAGTGACTGGGATTCTTGGAGTTGTAGTCCAAAAAATTTACTATGTCCACATCCTGACCATCATTTTTTCTTGAACTTTGAATGTTACCGCTTTATAAAGAGTTTGTCAGCCCATATAGTCTAGCATTGTCAGTAGTGACTGGGATTCTTGGAGTTGTAGTCCAGAAAATTAACTATGTCCACATCCTGACCATCATTTCCTGAACTTTGAATGTTATCACTTTATAAAGAGTTTATCTGTCAGCCCATATAGTCTAGCATTGTCAGCTCTGTCTACCAGTAATGGCTGTCCAGGATTTCAGGCAGGATGCCTTTCTTGTCCTACTGTGTTATTATCTGGTGATCTCTCATCCCGACACAAGCCAGTCTTCATCTGCCTGGCTTCCAAAAATCAGATGAGACAGGTGGTCTGCTTAGGCTGCTAGCTTGACTGCTGTGTTCCCACTTCAGTACTTGAAGAAGCTTCACACACAAGAGCGAGCCGTGGAGGAAGTGAAACTAGCCATCAAGCCCTATTACCAGAAAAAGGAGATCACAAAGGAAGAATACAAGGACATCCTGCGCAAAGCCGTCCACAAGGTAGAGAAGGGAGAGGAGGGGAGAGGGGCAGAGAAGAGCTTGGAAGGGAGGGGGATACAAAAGAGGCACCAAGAAAGAAGGGGAACTTTGCTTTAACTTCTCCCCTTTTCATCCTTTAGATCTGCCACAGCAAGAGTGGAGAAATTAATCCAGTCAAGGTGAACAACCTCGTCAAGGCCTATGTCCAGAGATACAAGTACTTTCGAAAACATGGACGCAAGATGGATGAAGAGGCGGGGGCCTCCAAGGAAATAGGAGGTCTTGACAAGTCTGGCTTACCCATGCCCCCCCTCTGAACAGAAGGCAAAAGAAACAAAAACAAAGTGGTCCTTCTTTATGCAAATAGGCTGGGCTGAGCCCTTCCTCCCACCTCATTTACTGTGTGGGGTCTGTGGAAGGAGAGGGTTGGGGACACCCTGTTTTGTTTGAGGGAGTGGTGGCATTTGAAGAGTGCGGTTCTTGTGCATCTGCTATCTGTCCCGGACCCCCTCCCACAAACACCTTTCACAGTTTTAGTCACAAGCTGACTGGTGTTTTGCCCTGTAAATACCGATGGATGAGGCTAATTTGTAGTTTCATCGCTCTCAAACTCCCATGATACAATGGGTGGTGTTATTCCTCTCCTGCCCCTCCTCCACCTAGTTTTTACTCATTTAGCATGTTTTTAATTTGTTGGGTTTTTTTTTTCTCTTCACCCTCCCTGTCAGCAGTCATGAAGCAGCAGTACCACAATGGTCCTGGGGTGGCAGCTTCCTGCTGCCATGTTGGGGAGGTAACTCCCCCCCCCCCCGTGCCCTCCTCCCAGTTGTAAGTTTGTCTGTCATTCTCTTTCCCTGCCCTCTTTCTCTTCATAAAACTGCATTTAGCCATCCAAACCTGGCTCCGCTTCCATGATCCTTTAGCAATGGGGGCAGGGGAGGGCTCTGGGCTTCAGGAGTAAGGAGTCTTCTTCTGATGGTTGGAAGAATCCTGGTGTCCATTATCTCAAAACATGGCTAGATTGTGCTTGTTGCTCCAGTTTACTTAACAAGAGAGCAGCCTCAATGCTTTGCTATTCAAGGATCCCTCCTTAGTAACTAACATTCCCAGGCGTTATGTTTACAGCTGCCAGAGTCCCTAGTGGCTGCTAAATCACTGCCTAGGATGAAGGTCCTGACATGGTCAGCCACCCCAGAACAAGATTGGCAGCCTTTTTGGCCCTGTAGCCACCTGTGAAAATACTCTCCATCTCGCTTTCTCCATGCCTGTCATTGGATTTTGGGACCCACTGTTACTTCTGCGGGTTTTGGTATATACACTGCCTATCTTATAATCCATCTTGAGCCTCCTCATTTGTCCTGTTGCCTAATATTTGCCTGTTCTTGTTCATGCCTTAAAGGTCAGCGCCTTTCTGAAATTGAGCAGGTTCAGGGGAGGAAAAACTTGGAGAAACTGCTTCTTAAAAAGCCTACAGCTCCCAGGGTGTACCAGCCAAAATGACCCAATAATATTAAATTAATTTTCATTCAGAAAAAAATAGCAATTAAATGGTTGGAAGGAGAATCGCAGAGGTTTCTAAAATGATGCATGGCATGGAGAAAACGAGAGAAATTCTTTCTCTGGTTATAAAGACTGGAGCTTCCTATGAAATGGGGTGGCATGAGTTTAAGGAGGAACAAAGCAAATGATGTTTTTCCAAAAATATATAATGGAATAATTGGGCTATGCTACCAAAAGAACAACAGGTGCTAAATGAGTATTTGAGGAAACCAGGACACATCAGGCTATGTATGGTTCTTGGTCATGGTGATTATACTGAATCTCTAACGTTCAGACAAGTGTGGCTCAGTACCAGATGATAGACAAGCCAGCTTATTTGGCTCTTTGCTACTTTTGCCCCGAAATTACAACAGGGTAGGAGTGTACTGGGGTGCACATATTTGTTTTCTCCTTGCTTTGTTTAAAGTTACTAAAACTATAGGCATTGTATTATAAAGACAAAAGAACTACTTTTCAGGATCATAGTATGAACTTAACGGTAGTTGCATTTGCATGTAATACTTAGTGCAGAATCCTGGCTTGGTAAACCATGGTGTTAATGAGAATTTGCCAGTATACACCACTCAATAATTTGCACGAATGAGCTGACAAGCCAGTGTTACAGCCAGATTTAGGATGATGGTGGTTTGTGCCTAAACACATCAAGAGCATAAATGAGCTTTTGACCAATGATTGGTGTTAGCTTAGAAATCCTAGCTTGTTTGGATGCAGCTTAACCATTAATCTGAGTTTGCACATAATACAATTTTTTTAATATCCTGTTTTATTTAAGTGTGAAATAGGAGCTAATGAGCTGCTTTTATGAACCAAATGTTTCATCATATTATGGTTCATTAAGCCAGGATTCCTGGTTTAGCACTATGTGTGAACATAGTTAGCTTCAGAAAGTTAGGGAAATAACGGCAGAAAGAAGGGAAAGAAAAATTCAAAAGGAAATAGGAGCCCCAAACCAATTTGAAGGAAGTGCAATATGGAAGTAAATTTTAAGACTTCCATCCTACACAGTTACTTAGAATTAAGCCTTACTGAAGTAAATGTAGATGGGATTCCTGCTGAGTAGGCATATTCAGGACTGCATTGTTAAAAAAACCCACAAAGATAGAGTGGGATGTAGAAAGTCTCAAGAAGAGAGAGAGACCAGGGCATAGGACTGCAAGTGGTCCACAGAAAAAGATAATCATAACTTAGAGCTAGAGATACTATTTTAAAAATTTATGTGTTAGTTATTACTCTTTTTAAAAGTTTTTTTAAAAAGTTAATTCTGTGGTATTTATTACTTTAAGCACTGTACTTTTGTAGTGTACAAGTGACACATTATTTTTAGTTTATTACAGTATTTCACAAGAATGTTCTTCTTTGGAAAGAAAAAGACCTTCTATCACAAAGAAATACTTAAGCAGCAGTGAGTTATGGCACTAAAATATAGTAACAACATTACTGAGCATTACATTATTTTTGCAAAAGGACCACTGTTATGCCCTCATTCCCTGAAAAAGATGCATGCTACCAGGTAGCATTGTTATTTGTAATGTGTTACATCCAAAGTTTGGCATAACCAGATGATTAAAATCAGGGGGGATAGGTGGTAGATCTGAGCCTACTGGTAGACCCTGGGGATTTGCAGTAGATCAACAACATTTTGTCATTACCAGTTATTTAACAATTACAGTAACAATATGACTTGGTTCCTGTCCTAAAGTGTATCACTGGCATAAAGCTCTGGTATATTAAGGAAGGAGTATTTTTGTCTAGAAAGACTGTGAGCTCTGTTCTGCTTTAATACACAAAATAAGTTTGTGAGCTCAGACTTCTTTAATTCTAACATGTTTCTTGCACCTGGCTCCAAGTTAGTGGATCTCAAGGCTCCAGTAAAAAACAAACATAAAAAGTACAGTGGCGCCCTGCTTAACGATTACCCCGCTTGACGATGAATCTGCTTCACGACGTTTTTGCGATCGCTATTGTTTTAATGGGCAAAATCCGCTTTACAACAGTCGGTTCCCTGCTTCGGGAACCGATTCTTCGCATTACGACGATCAAAACAGCTGATCGTCGGGTTTTCAAAATAGCTGCCGGCTGTTCAAAATGGCTCCCCACTGCGTTCAGGACGGATTTTTCGCTGCACAGGCATCGGAAAATGGCCACCCTATGGAGGATATTCGCTGGCCGCTGAGGTATTTCTCCCATTGGAACTCATTGAACCGGTTTTCAGTGCTTTTCAGTTGGCTTTTTCATTTCGCTTGACAAGGATTTCGCTGGAATGGATTATCCTCGTCAAGCGAGGCACCACTGTATATAAATGCTGCAGTGACATTCATGTCCTGCTCACAGGCCAACTGGTTGCCTGCTTTGTGAACAGAAAACTAGACTAGCTAAGCCTTTTGTCTGATTCAGTATAGCTCTTATAATTTCAATCCTGTGAGCCTGAAACTCTCAGCTCACCCTTGGATTAGGTGGAAAATAACATAACATAAAATGCAGTAAGGAGAAACAGTAGTTGAGAAAAGAAAATGACCATGTTCCTGAAAAGCCTTAAAGTAAGTAGAGAATGGAAAAGTTACTCTTCTGGATTAAAATTCCCAGTAGCCATCATCCAGATAGCCCATAGCTAGGGTATCTGCAGCTAAATATTTTTTCCAAGCTTTAATAATAACATGAACAATAGAATTTGAGGATTGTGGAATGGAATATAAAGTGGGAGAACAACATGAAAAATACAAACAGCATCAAGATGAGAATGAGCCAAAATATGAACTAAATGCAACCATAAGGAATAAGCATATATAAGCAATATTGATTTTTTAAGCAAGTCTTTGCATCAACATTGCTGTGGATGAGAAGAGACCTGAGTTAAATACTATGCCAAGACTGTAAAACAGTAAAGTCTATGATTAATGGTAAGTATGAGTAGGTGGCAAGACTTTTATTAGAAAATGATGATAAATTCAGTTTTGTACACATCTGGGTTTGTATTACGTTGTAGACTACAGTTACCAGTTTGGCAAGGGCAGAGAAAGGAAAGAAGAGCATCCTCAGCAAATAAAGACCCTATTTCAAACCAACTCAAACCCTGCTGAGGTGATCAAAGTAACATGAGGAATGTGCTAGCTTCATTGTTGCTTTGTGTATCTGGGAAGTGAAGGATCTGAAAAAGTGAGCCTTTTCTCTGTTCAGACTCCATGTGAGCCAGAAACACGATTTTTCAGATTTCTGGCTTGTGTAAAGAGTTTCCACACATAGAGGAGACTCTCCAGAGCAGTTGCTCTTCACATGAAGGCAAGGCTAGCAGGCTTCCCTCTTGTTATAGTGAACACTCAAGGAGAGCTAAAGTCAGTCTCTTATTCAAGTGGAAGATGTGCTGCAGTTGTATCTCCATTATGCATTTATATCAGCTTGATAATACTTTCAGCTGTCCTGACCTATCCAGCAGAATCCTGGGATTTTGAGTTTAACGAGGAGATACATAGAACCCTGTTAGATTTGATTTCATGAACTCTCATGGCTTTCCAGCAGAGAATGGGAAGCAGCTCACTAAACTACAAATCCCAGGATTCCTTAGCATAGAGCAGTGGTTCCCAACCTTGCATAAACCAGGTGTTCTTGAACTGCAACTCCCACAAACACCAGCTATGTTTCTGGGAATTGCAGTCCAATAACTGGTGGGTCACCCAAGGTTGGGAACCACTGACATAGAGTGAAGACAGTGAAAGTGGTATGGAATAGAGACGGGCTATTCGTATTCATATTCCTGGGGATATGGATAGCGACACCACAGGAGCCACAGAGGTCCATTCCTTCCCCCCTGAACCAGCCAGTCCACTCACTGCTCTCCATGTGGTGCGCGTGGCTGTCATCCACATTATTGTGAGAATCATGGAAACAGCCCAGACGTTGCTTTGCCGCCTCTCTGCACAGCTGATCACACAACAGCTGAGTGAGGAGACTCCCACTCCTGCCTTCTCGCTGGGGTGGTTGGCTGTGTGGGGAGGCAGGGAAGTGACAGCGAGGCTGCTTCCATGATTGGTGCAAAGATATGGTTGGCTGTGTGGGGAGGCAGGGAAGTGACAGGCTGTTTCCACAATTGGTGCAAAGATGTGGATGACTGTCATGCATGCCACGCAGCAACCAGTAAGTGGACCAGTCAGTTTGGGGGGGAAGAGCTTGGGTCTCCACGGCACCTGTGGTGCTGATATTCGTATTTGTATCCCCAGGGATACGAATACGAATTGCTCATCTCTAGTACTGAACTGATACAAGTGCAGGGAAATGCACCTTCTGACATAGAAATTAGCTGTTTTTCAACTACCAGCATCCAACTTCTCTTAGGAAAAGTAATGGCAAAATATCCCTCTGCTGAAGAAAAGAATTGAAAGGGCTCCAGGGAAGACTGTTGAGTTTGCCTCTCTGTGAAATGGGCTAGTTGCTGGACTCCACCTCCATCTTCTCTTTCCATTCTCGCAGCTGATCCAGGAAGGAGGGTTGCTCCAGTGAGTCTGATATCCTTAAGTCTGGATTGTTTTGTTTTAATGAAGATGCCCCATAGATCTGGCTCAAGTCGTAGAGAGCTTCCAAAACCTTAGGTATGACCTGGAGGGGAAAACCAAAACAGCTGCCACTTAATGGCTGGTTCTTCCTATGTGTGTTTTTCCCTCTTGTACTACACTGCAGCATTCTACTATCAACCACAAAGCTAGGGAAGCTGGTGTCCTCCCGATACTGCTGGCTTCTCGGTTCCCATCAGCCATAGTCAGCAACACTCAGGGAGGGATGATGGGAGATGCAAGCAAATAACCTCTGGAGTTCTGCAAATCCCCTAGCCTTGGTCAGAAGTAGTGGTGCCCTGGCCCTGCAGGTCTTGAAAGCCCCTGCTACTCTTTTCTGTTCTCTTTGTAACACCTGAAGTTGTTGAGACTTTCCATCTACTTTCACCTACGTACCTGTTGGAGGGAGAGGGACTACTGTCCCACATATGGGGCAAGATGGGGTTTTTAAAATGTAGGGTTGGTCATCTTGTGCCTTCCGGAGGTTGCTGGACTGCATCTCCCACAGGCAGTAGGGACTGCAGTCCAGCAGCCTCCGGAAAGCTGTAGGTCACTCAGGATAGATGTATGGGGAATACAGGAAAGAGATGGAAACAATGATAGTGTAGTAGAGAGAGTAGGAAAATAAGAAGGGGGAGGCACTGATTTAAAGAAAGGACTTCTAATGACATTCAAGATTGAGGGAAGATTTGAAAGCAAAATGGGAAGAACAGTGCAGGGCTGCTTTCTGAAGCCAGCAAGCCCACTGTCAAGGAGAATTACCCTACTTCTCCTGACTTGCCAAAGAAATGGGGATGCCTGGCGGCTGAGCCTCAGCTATAACTTGAAAATCAGAAATCCATTCCTACTGCTCTCTGAGCAGAGCTAGTCCTCTGTGAAGGGAGAGCGATACAGCTTCTGATGGTAACATATTTTGGGTGTCCTAAAATGCACTTACTTCCTATGTTATCAATATATTTGTACTGCTAGGAATGGCAGTATAAACAACAGTAAGCCACGTGGTTTCTGCTTCATCTGCCAAAGCCACGTGGCTGGCTTTGAGGACTCTGCCCCTTGACCTACGTGGTGCTGTTTGTTCTGCCACTTCAAGTAGGCAAATGGCTTGAGCCAGAGCTGTTTCCGGGTATATAAACAGCCCTTTCCAATCCAGTACCCTCCGTATATGTAGAAGAGCAGGATTTGGCCACCACCTTGGTGGCTGTCCGGTTGGAGACTATGACAAATTGCAAGGGGAGGGAATGATAATTGCAAACCACTTTGAGCACTGTTTTGTAGTGGAAACGTGCGATATAAATGTAACAAATAATAACTTCTTAAACACTGGCACAACAAAGATAAGTTCCTTGTCCCATCTTCTCACAGTTGTATTGTGCCAGCTACATACTTTGATTGGCCTTGGTAAACCCATAATAGAAGAACTGCCAGCTAAAGGATGAGAATTCAGGGTCCGCTCAGGAAGCACAAAGTAGCAAATCTGGGGAACATGCAGACCTTGAAGAAATGGCTTTTTTTGATAGAATGGAGAAATCCTAGGGGTTATGGGTCCAAACAAGAATTTTTTTCCAGTCTCTGGAACATATGCTTATTCCCACTCATACTTGAGGGAAAGAGATACAGAGAAAAGATTCAAAACCTCCGTTTCCATTTTATAGCATTGCTCTGGTCTTTTATCTCAGCGTGAAAAGTCACAACTCAAAGCAAACCACAGCTGCCACAATTTGGATGAAATGGTCAATGAATTTGTTAGTAAACACTTCTAACTTCCTTTTTATATACAAGGACTTGTTTTTGAACTGGAGATCCTGAAACTGTAGACAGAATCCATTTGACAGTGGGTTTGACTTTAATAGACTCTGTTAAGTCCATGATTCCTTAGGGAATTCCACGTTTTAAGCTCTGGTCGCCTTAAAGCCATTTGAGAGATGGTGGGTATTACCCCACCTCTGATTGCAGGAAGATTCCTTGTGAGCTCTTGCAAAGTCGTTAGCAATGCCTGCTTTGTGGAAGTTCTAGAGCTAGACTAGAAAAGCTAGTATGGGTGTAGGATACAACTGGCTGTTCAAAAATACAAATGGAGAATCGGAAAACACTTTTTCCAGGGAACGCTGGATGACATTTACTATCTTGTGTTTTTCAACAAATTTCTAGTTTGCATGTTTAAAAGAAGCAATGTCAGGGAGATACGTGTTTTATCAACTGAAAGGGACATTTTATCACCTCAGCTTTAGTTCTAGTTAGATATGCAAAGGTTTTTTTTGTGACTTTACCCTGCTGACTTACATTACCTCAGAGGAGCACTGCCTGGATTCACAAACAACAATAAGCCATGTTGTGGTTTGTTGAATGCTGGGCTGGTTATATGTCAAAACTCATTCTGACAAACTGGTTTGTTTGCTATCTGCCTATTACAATTAGACACCACAGCTGCTTGTTGGTTTACACAGTCTTGACTTGTTTAAACCACAGGTTGCCATCATGCCTGAATCTATAACTGTGTCTTGGCTTATTTTCCTAGCTGCCCACTGCAAAACAGGAGGAAACAAAAGGGGCAGGAGAAAACTAGAAATTGCAAAAACAAATGGGTTGATCAGATATCTGCTGAACACTTCATGGCTACAGCAGCAAACTCTGGCTGAGAAAAACCACAGCCATTTACTCTTAATGGCACGTCACTGTGAACAAAATAGTAAAACTTTTCATTGTGCCAGCAAGTAGCAGCAACTGTTTGGCTAATTCTGCCCCCTGGGCAGCCTCCTGAGCAAAGAACGGTAGGAGAGCTGCTAGTTCATTCCCTTAAGCACTCATTTCGGGGTACTGGGATTTCAGAGGGGACAGTAATGACACAGGAAGCAGTTGCAAACACAGACAGAACAAGGGTGGAGGAAGGAGGCAAATTTCAGTATCACTTCATCTTCCCATCTGCTCAGGCTCATACAGTACAGTAGCTACTGTATCTCACAAGAAAGAAACTGGTGGTACATCCCATTTGTCAAATCTTGCTTAAACAATCCTAGCTGTAGTTATTAAAAGGTGTTTTAATTTATACCAACACATTTGCTCAACAGATGGGGAAACTGGAGAAGCATATTAGAGGTGGTGGTATGCATGTTTAAGTTTGTTTTTAGCAAACATGGGGAGAGTTCCATGTTTGGACTACAACTTTTAGAATCCATCAGACCTGATGGTGAGAGTTGTGTTTCAAGAAAGGGATTTTCATATCTCTGGTCTTTAGCAGCATAAAGAAGGAAAAAGGCACTTACTTCTACCATGATCAGTTTTTTCTTCCAGGGATGCTCAGTGTCAGGCCAGTTTTCTCCAAAGCATAACCACAGAGTGTACTTAGGGGAGTTATTCTTTCCTTCCATATACCCAATCAGTTCTGAAGGAAGAGAGGAAGAAAGAGCAGCTTCCTTAATAATCTACTGCCCCACCAGAGAATGACATAAGGCCTAGTTCCCAACCAGTGGTTATCTTGAATCCTCTTTATATGGCCCCCAATAGTGATGGACTAGGACTCGGGAGACCTGAGATCAATTTTCTGACTGCCATGGAAGCTCCCTGGGGGAGTGGAACTGGTCAAACCGCCAGATGCCAAAGGAAGATCTGCCTGAAGAACAGTATTGATCAAAGTAGCATTCCCCAGAAAGAGGGAAGAGAAGGTGTCCCAGTTGGCTGATTGATTTTTAGGACATTTGGCTGTGTTTCTATGATCTAAGACCCACTTCCAGTTATTTCTCAGACAAGGCACAAGCAATCTGGTGTCCTTTCAACAGTCTGAACTACAAATCCCAGAATGACTAATTATTGACAGTGCAGCCTAGAACTAAAGGGAGCTGAAGTTGCAAGGGCAGGAAGGGCATCAGGAAACTACACAGACCAGTATTTTGACTCTGCAAGTCAGTCTCCTGTGTTCGTACCTCTTCACTGCCAGAAAACTGAATGGATCAAATTCCTCATTGACAAAGGACTGCCTTGGGAGAAAAATTGTTATCTTTTAGCCTCACAGTAAGGGAGGTCAGAATTTTTTTTTTCTGCCAAGGACATTTCCCTGCATATAATGCCAGCTTTCACCCCATAATTACCCCTCTAATGTCTACTTGGATAAATGACACAAGGTAGGGACTTCAAGCTTTTAGAAGGTAGCAGAATAGAAACTTCAAATTGCAGCATCAATGAAAAACAACTATAGTAAGGCTGCAAAAGAGGAGGGAAAATTTTCCAGCATTAGTTTTCTTTGTAGCTGGAGCTACTTTTATACATTTTGATTGGTGAGCAGAGCCTTCTCCCCGTCATGATGACAGAAGAGGATTAAATGCTGGTGCAGACATTTCACTGCGGCAGAAGCAGAATCAAAGCGAGCAGAGCCTTTGGCCGGTGGCTCTCAACAGGGAATGCATGGGCAGCATAGGCTTACCTTCCGTAAACTGATGCAAGCTGTAGATGGGGCAGAATTTTTCCTTTGACAACTCTCCGCGTGGTGTATTCTCTGTGGCTATCTCAGATTGGCTCCAGAAGACATGGCAAGGACCTCGACGTGTGCCGCACAGCGATTTGCCTTCGATGCGGAGAAGCACCCCCGGAGCTACCCCACGTAGAAGGCGTTGGGTGTAAGATGCTTGCACCTGGTCACTCAAGGGAGACGGGTCGGGTAGGACCACATCCACTAAATCGGGATAGCGACCAGAGAAGCCAGGAGGCACAAAGCAAAGGCCTCGTGTATTACTGAACACCTTGGTGAAAACCATCCGGCCCCGATAATAAGCCCGAACCTCAAAATCTGTTTCTAAAGAGAAGAGAGGGAAGTTAGGGTATCTGTGTCCAGTTTCAGATGAACCACCTGTAGTTATGTGAAAGACCATTCATATGACCGGTCCTCCTCACTCTACCCGTGTAGCATCAGGGTTTAGAAAAAAATACTTTTTCTGGACTATAATTTCCAGAATCGCCCAGCAAGCACGGGACGAACATGGTGGCTATAGTTTAAACATAATTTTTCCAAGCCCTGTTTAGCAGCCACCGTAGGGTATGAAAAGTCATGGGCAAAAAACAGGAAGGGAAGTTTATCAGGTTCCTTGTATTTCAGCTTTCCCCGTTTGTGCCCTTAACAAAGTCTATGATGCTTTGTAAAACTTGCAAAAATATCCATTGGTCCACAAATCATTTGTAAACAAGACTGGGCCAGATGAGCCAACCGCCACTTTCTAGAACCCTAGTCCCCTTTTCAGGTGCATAGTGAGCAGAAATTCAAGAG